CAGCAACAATAATAGCAATAATAGCAGCAATGATATAGCAGCAATAATGACAACTGCTATAGCAACAAAAGAAAAAGCAGAAAAACAAGAAGAGCCTCAAAAAGAAGTCATATGGAATTGTTATCTAAAACAAAAAAGTTGTTAAGAGTATATACAAATATCAGGTTATTTTTATTTCTTATTAGCAAATAAAGATATCAGGTATTTTCATATATTTTAATTTATTGATTTATCGTCTATATATATATATGAATATCAGGTATTTCATATATTTTTGATTTATTGATTTCTTGCTTATATAAATATCAGTTGTTTCTATATATTTTTATTAATTTATTTTAATTTATTATAATAAAATAATATTATAATATCCATTGAAGGGCTCGATAAGCTAATACAACCAGACCCCAAGAAATTGTGGATAGATTTTAAATAAGAGTTTCTTCGAAACTTGTTTAAAATTATCAAAAGAGATGTTTGAAGGTATTATACTAGCAATGCCCAAATATTAAAAATTATAAAGGAGTGCTATCAGAAAAATATTTGGTATAGCAGAATCTGAAAAAAAGAAAAACAAGAATATAAAAAAAATAGAGAACAACAAAGAATGATAGCAGTAAAAATTTTTTGTTTTTATTATATTAATGTACTAACTATATCACTATTAATAAAATTTTAAATATATTTTCAGAAAATCAATTGGAGGAAAAAGGGGTTTGCCCACCTCTACTAAAGTAAAAGTGAACACTAAAAAACCTTCTCTCACATAATATTTCAGAGTGTCAAGCTCTAAACAACATAAAAAAAATTGTAGCCAAAAGTAGATACCACAGCAATGAGATATCGGAAACAGATGATGAACTTGCTGATGATAAAAGAAGAAAAATGATTCAACATCTTCTTGATGATGACCACAATAATCATGTGGTGAAGATTATAAAAAAAAGATAGCAGTTAAAAAAAGTAATTATTACAATAGATAATTTATATCTATATTGATACTAGTACTAATATGCTTTATATACTTTTTAGTTAAAGCAAATTTTGTTGCTATGTAAAGATACTTTGCTAGCACAAAATTATAATAAGCT